TGCTTGTGTGTTTTTGCCCCTTGGCCTTTTGGATTTCTGGACCTTTTGATTATTAAAGTCTTTTGTTTTGGAAAAGTCTGCGTTTGAGTCCTGCCTTCCACCCTCAACCTTGACAGAATGACGCGACCAAAGAAGGGCTCAGCAGACCCGCTGCCAGACTACGGTCCGGACTACCTGGACGTAAGAAGTCCCTTCTGGCAGCGGAAAACGAATTTTGTTTTTGGTCCCAGGAGCTATCAGCTCGCCTGCCTCGAGCTCCGGGACCTCATTAACCCAAGGAGGAGCAAGCGGAAGAAGCGCTCTCCCGTTCCCGCTGGGCCGCCGCAGCGCTCTCCCGTTCCCGCTGGGCCGCCGCAGCGCTCTCCCGTTCCCGCTGGGCCGCCGCAGCGCTCTCCCGTTCCCGCTGGGCCGCCGCAGCGCTCTCCCGTTCCCCGACTCTCGGCTCCGACCCCGACTCGGCCAGTCCCCGCTCCGAGACTCTCGGCTCCGACCCCGACTCGGCCAGTCCCCGCTCCGAGACTCAGATTCCCTCCCCGACGCCCTCCCGTTGGTAATTTGAGGGCCGTCTGGGATCCGGCCCTTAAGGGGGGGGCTATGGGGTGGGTTATGGGGGGGGCTGAGCCGCCGACTGCGGAGGTTTTTCCGTGTCCCCCGAGGCCGACGACTGCGGAGGTGTTTCCGTGTTCCCCGAGCCGCCCGACTGCGGAAGGTGTTCCGTGTCCCCCGAGGCTGGAGCCCGCCGCACGACTGCTGCGGACGTGTTCCGTGTCCCCGAGCTGGAGCCGCCGCCGACTGCTGCGGACGTGTTCCGTGTCCCCGAGCTGGAGCCCGCCGCCGACTGCTGCGGACGTGTTCCGTGTCCCCGAGCTGGAGCCGCCGCCGACTGCTGCGGACGTGTTCCGTGTCCCCGAGCTGGAGCGGCCGCCGACTGCTGCGGACGTGTTCCGTGTCCCCGAGCTGGAGCGGCCGCCGACTACTGCTGACGTGTTCCGTGTCCCCGAACTCGAGCCGCCGCCGACCCCCCCGGAGGGTTCCCGTGTCCCCGAGCCTGCCATGCCAGAGACGTTCCGGAGCCGGCCAAATGACCGTCCGCCGGGCCGACCACCGGAGGCTCCCCGGCAGTGTGCCTATCCGCCAGGCCGACCCCCAGAGGCTCCCCGGTCGCCTGGCCGCCCGCCGGGCCGCCCGCCAGAGTTTCCTGGGTGGCCCGACCATTGTCTCTGGTTTCCCTCCCCCCCACCCCTTGTTTCGCTCTAGTGTGAGCCGCCTGGAAGTCGGCCCTTAAGGGGGGGGTACTGTCACGGTGTGGTTTACTTCATGTTATATTTTGTAGTTTTCTGCCACTTGTGTCCCCGGGTAACTTCACTTCCTGCCTTGTCCCGTCATCCCCTGTGATCGTCTTAATAGTTTACACCTGTGTCCAATCACCTGCACCTCCCTAGTGTATTTAAGCCGTGTGTCTCTTGTGTCACTTGTCGCGTCATTGTCTTTTGCCACCCATGTCCTGTTCTTGTCTTTCGCCCCCGTAGGTTCATGCTTGTGTGTTTTTGCCCCTTGGCCTTTTGGATTTTGGACCTTTTGATTATTAAAGTCTTTTGTTTTGGAAAAGTCTGCGTTTGAGTCCTGCCTTCCACCCTCAACCTTGACAGAATGACGCGACCAAAGAAGGGCTCAGCAGACCCGCTGCCAGACTACGGTCCGGACTACCTGGACGTAAGAAGTCCCTTCTGGCAGCGGAAAACGAATTTTGTTTTTGGTCCCAGGAGCTATCAGCTCGCCTGCCTCGAGCTCCGGGACCTCATTAACCCAAGGAGGAGCAAGCGGAAGAAGCGCTCTCCCGTTCCCGCTGGGCCGCCGCAGCGCTCTCCCGTTCCCGCTGGGCCGCCGCAGCGCTCTCCCGTTCCCGCTGGGCCGCCGCAGCGCTCTCCCGTTCCCGCTGGGCCGCCGCAGCGCTCTCCCGTTCCCCGACTCTCGGCTCCGACCCCGACTCGGCCAGTCCCCGCTCCGAGACTCTCGGCTCCGACCCCGACTCGGCCAGTCCCCGCTCCGAGACTCTCGGCCCCGACCCCGACTCGGCCAGTCCCCGCTCCGAGAATCATGGCCCCGACGCCCCCAGTCCACGCTCCGAGAATCATGGCCCCGACGCCCCCAGTCCACGCTCCGAGAATCATGGCCCCGACGCCCCCAGTCCCCGCTCCGAGAATCATGGCCCCGACGCCCCCAGTCCCCGCTCCGAGAAATCATGGCCCCGACGCCCCCAGTCCCCGCTCCGAGAATCATGGCCCCGACGCCTCCTGGTCCCGCCTCGAAGAATCAAGGGCCCGAACGCCTCGGGTCCTCGCTCGGGACATCATGGGCCCTGACGACCCGAATCCCTGTTCAAGAGAATTTAGGTCCCCAA